CTACGTCTTGATATGAGTTTGACAGAGCTGATTGTACTACCAGATAGCTGAACCGGACAGGCTCTCCTGGAAGCAGTGGATCAGGAGTTGGTCATTTCCCCCATATCCTGTCATCTTCCGACAGAACATAGTGATATGGGCTGAAGGCCAGCTGTTCCCGTCGAACTTCTCAAACTCAGGAATTTTAAACTTAGGTGGAAGCACCAAATATGGAACCAGGCTCAGCTCCATTGCGTCCACTCTATAATAATCATGGTCCCCTTGGACAATCTTCATTTGATCTTCTAACATCCTGATCTTCTCTTCCATCTTCTTTGCCTTATCCTCCTCGTCAAAATCCGGGATAGGGCAGTCGTCTGGATAACTTTCAGGATTTGCTACAGAAGTATGTAAATTTGCAACAGATACAACTTTCCCTTTGGTGGCAAATGAGTCACCTTGTAGTCCGGGTAAAATCCCGGATGAGACAACCACTTGAGGGGTCGGTGGTATGGTTACCCCCTCAGATGCACCTACTCCTGGTGCACTTGCCTGTTGTTGTAAACCAGACAACTTCGCCACAATTTGGTCGACTAAGGACTCCTGGTTTTTCTTGATGGACTCCATGGTAATTTCATTGTTCCGAGTCATTCTGTCATCCAATTCTTTCTACAGCTTTGTCATGTTCTGCTCAATCTTCTCGATTCTGGCTTCCATTTGTCTCTTTTTTGCTCGAGTATTGTAAGGGTGATGCGTGTCTTGAGCTTGTGGAGGTAAGCTTGGTGTCTGAGACATATTCTGTTAGTTAATACAAATGTAAAAACATGGAAAATATAAAAATAAACATGAAATATAAAATGCAAGGAATGTAATGCATGATGTATGCAATTTGGAGGCATTGATCCAGAAAAGTGTCCATTAATATAAATAATCCTTATTTACACAAAAATGTTTTATCTTTTAAGAGACATAAAAACAATCAAAGGTATATCCGGACTAAATCCTCTAGACCCCGAACAGCTTCTAGTAGGTTAACAAGTCTTTTGCCTTCATCTGTCACTGGTTGAATGCCTTGTCGAACCACTCCAGCTTCCCTTGCCAGGCTGTGTAGATGACGGGCTGCCTTCTGTACTTGATCCATAAAATCTTGGATGACTACTTCTCTGGCCTTCACCCTTTGCTGTGCTTGCTCCCAACGGAAACGCCACTGTAAACCTCTGTCAAAAGGCACTATCTGAAGCTCATTCGCTTGCTTCTTGAACCCGTCTACAATAGCTTATAACTCGGCTATTGTCTTGCCATATTTCTCATGTTGTTTCTCAAGATCAGCCACCCGGATTCTCAAGCGTTGGTTCTGATGTTGACTGTCTGCTAAGTGCCTCTGAGCAGTCTTTAGTTGTTCCTTCCCCACTGCCTTTACATCGAGCTTGGTCAGTTATCCATTTTTCGTCAACCCTGGCAACCTTGGCCAATGCATTCTTGAAAGGCTGACTTTTGATGTGTTTAATGTAAGCTCGCTCTAGTTTGATGCTTTCACAGTGCAACAGTGTAGTGTACTCTTCAATAGTGGGCACCATGTCCTCCCGATTAAAAGTGAAGCAACTGTATCCCGGGTTCCAGAATTGAACCAAGGCTCTGATTAAGGGCTCATCAGTCTTAACATGAAGCAAAAGTGCAATGTCACCGTATCGTTGGCTGAACTTCTATTTCTGATCATTCTTCCAACTGTCCCAGATGTCTCGAAGCTCTTGTACATCGTTCTGCTTCAGGCTGATAGGGGAGTAGTTAACCAGCTCTGACACATAGCTTCCTTGAAGATTGTTTCCCTTTTCCTTCTGGGTCTTCTCGGACTATAGTCGTACCTCGGGGTTTTAAATCTCTTGTATTACAACACCTTTATCCATTAATTCAGTTTATTGTGTGTGTAATAAACACCTTTTTAGGGATCAATGGCCTTTTGTTATGATGCAAATGTTAAAAAACAAACACAAAGGCAAAAAGTTAGTAAAAAAATAACAGTAAAAAAATGATGAAAGAAAGCATGAAAAGTAAAAGGAAAAAAACATGGTTATAGTAAAAATATCTCGAGTTTTGGAATATGGTTTTGGGGTAGGCTCTAAATCTCCATAGTCTCCCGGTTTAGGTTCTAAAAAATGGTACCCGAGTTCTTCTTGTCGGCTCCCCATTGGGCTTACGATACCCTTAGTCCTAAGCCTATTACAAGCTTGTGTGGACTAAGTTAAACTCGAGATGACACATTCCCTTATGTTTATGCGGTGAATAAATTCACACGAAGACATAAGGTATATGAATCCCAAAGGCTACTTGCTAGGCCTGTACGGTGAATAAATTCACACGAAGGCATCGCTTTCACCTCCACTTAAATAAGGTTCGGAGCTTGGGTTTAGAGCCTTAAGTGAAAAATAAGCTTTGAAGGCTGAAATCATTAGAAAACGATTAGTACAATTATTTACTTGAAAATATAATCAAAAGTAAGCAATAATGATCGGAATATTACCTTAAAATTTAAACTTACCCTTTTCGTTAAAAAGATAACTGGAAATTATCTTAGCCTGACTCACTTACCTGTCTCCCCAGCAGAGTCGCCAAGCTGTCAGAACCACCTTTCGGGCGGGCCCGAAATTGAGCTTCGACTTAGGAAAAATGATTTGGAGTCGCTACCGATCTTTTATTTTAAAACCAAATAGGTAGATCGAATACTTTATTTCTTACATGATATGCGTCTGACCACAGATGTGTCGGATTCGAGAGTCGGTTACAGTTAAGGAAGGGTTAGCACCCTTGAACTTTCGGTACTACGTAATTTCCAATTGTCTTAATTAAGAAAGTTGCAAGTTAAATTTAAAGGTAAAAATAAGACCTCAGTTACTTACCTCTGATTGGTGAAAATACTCTTAAAAGATTAAAGATGTTAGACTTGTAGTGAGATATATAATCGATGTAAGACAGAAATAATAAAGCGCAAAAAGATAAAATAAGTACAAACAAAGTAAACAAAATAAATAAGAAAACAACACAAAGTAATAAAAAAAATAAAATATGAAACGAAACATAAAACAAAAAAAAATGGAATTAAATAGAAACATTAATGAAAAAAAAAGTAAAAAGGATAAAGCAAAAATAATAAGAATGATAATAATAATAATAATAAGGGTAAAATAAATAAAATATATATATATATATATATATATATATATAGGAAAAAATATAAGTAAACATAAATGAAAATGAATAAAATATTAAAAAATAATATAACATGAATATATATGATAATAGTAGGCTTATAAATAAACTATTGAAAATATGTAAACATATAAAATGATAAATATAGTATTTTAAAAATCAAATAAAAATAATATATATATATATATATATATATATATATTAATTATAAAAAATATGTACATAAAAAATAAGATAAAAAAATTAAAAAAATAATAATAATACAGGAATTAAACTGAAATAAAAGTCAATTTGGTGGCCAAATTAAAATAAAACAAAAATTAGAGGCCAAATTAAGATGAATTTTGGGTTTAAAAATTTGATTTAGGGGTCAGGATAAGGCTTTAAAAAGAACGGGAGACTGAATTGGGGATTAACACCTTTTAATTATAAAATACGCGGGTTTGGGGTGGCAAATGGGTCAACAAGCGGGCTGTTAGGTTGGGTGTGGGCCGACTATAAATGCTAAAAAAAATTAAGTTTTTCATTTTTCTTCTTCTCCACACAAAACGCCCCCCTTTTCCATATTTTCTCTCAAGTGTTCTTGAGATTCAAGAACAAAACGCCCCCCTCGTCGACCGCCATGAACGGTGCCGGCCACCGTCATTGGTGGCGAAAAAATATTTTTTATTTTTATTTTTGAAATCTCGAAAACCCTTTCGTTCCCACCTCAAAAATCAAAATTTTCAAAAAAAAATGAAATAGCCTCGGGATAGATCTAGGTTCAAAACTTCGAAACCCTCCCCCTTTTGGTCATCGGCGTTTGAGTTTTCAAATCGGTAAAACAAGCATGCAAGGGCGATGAAGCGAGTAAGGTAACAAATTTTACCTTTTTATTTCTTTCGCAAACGTTACAATGCTTTGAGTGATTCGGTCGATTCTTGCTAGTATTTTGTGCCTAGTATTCTTTGCGTAACCTCTGTGTTATTGTGTGTCAAATACATGGGTATTTATAAGTACTAAAGAAACATATTCCTAGAGTTTGATTCAGAGTAAAACTCAGTTATTTGATGCTCCACGACTCTGACTTGTTGTTTGGTTGGCTGTGAATGAGTCACTTTGACTCACGTCTGTTGAAGACCGAGAAAATCAACGGGGAACCCGGCTGTTGGAGCAGCGGCGTGCGGCGATGGGTCTTCAAAGGGAGATAACGACTCTGGAGATGGGGTGAACTAGGGTTCTGGAAACCCTAGTTGTTGTGGGTTGTTTGGGCCACTTGTTCTTTAAAGCGGGTTGTAGAACTCTAGGCCTGCAACATGTAATATAAAATAATTACTATAATATATAATATGTTTAATATACTATATATTATAAAGGTGTGACGTATGGGACGCAAATGTTGTATCTACATATGTGATTTGAAGTTTTAATAATTTATGTATGTACGAACCAAACATTCTTAGTAATTAAGAGATTTGTTGTTATCCCTTAAGGTTTCGGGTTCAAGCACCGTGTATGTAACAATATGAGTGTTTTGTTATTAAATGGTTGATAGTCTTTAAACAGATATTATCTTGTATTCATTTATTTAATTTAGTTTTAATTTGACTTTAATTAAGTTTAGATCAATCAATATGACATCTTTAATTCAATTTTGATCGTTTGTTCCAATGATTTGAGGTTGTGATATCAATAACTACCGATGTTGATCGTTTGCTCTTCATAGTTTATGATTACAACTTAATGGCACGTCTTCAATTGCTGAAGTTAAGCCTGATTATTATTGGTCAGAACCCAATTAAAAGATCTTCTTCAGCCCAACCCCAAACAGTGTTTGCTTAATTGAGAAACGCCGCCGTTTAGAGGAAAAAGTCCCCTCGATCTCTTTTAATGACAGTTTTACCCTGACGGAGCTGGCTCACCGGTCACCGTCACTGTCCGTCCAAAAATGGCGTCAAGACTAGCGATGCTGAAACGCTCCGCCGCAGTCGAATACGGTTCTGTTTTGGGGCTGCGGAGATGGGTTCATGCTTCAGCACTCCCTCCACCCCATCAGTCAACCCCACCGTCGCAGCCGTTGGTTTTATCCGAGTCCGATCAAATCCCAGACAGCAATATTAACGACTTCGGGTTTGGTTCCCGATTTTCCTTTTTGGAGGATCTATGGAGCTCATAGCTGTCCCAAAGAGAAAAGTAGGGATCTTTATTTATTAATTCAGTTAGATATGTTCAAATGGAAATGTTCATATATTTGTTTCTATAATTTGTAGTTGAGTCGCCATAAGAGAGGCATAAGAAATGGACCCAAGGGTTTGAAACCCTTTCCGGTCATTATTAGATGCAAGTAAGTATTTTTAATTTATCAATTATGGTTTCATGTTTGTTATTGGAAATTGCTTGAATTAGAAATCACCATAGTTTAGTTTACTACTTTAGTTGTTGAAATGGTTGAATAGCAGTAGATATTAATCATTATTTATAAAAAAAAATGTTAAATCTTAGCTTGAATTGGATGTCCTCGGTAAGAATATCAAAGAGCTTCGGATATAGTTTATGGTATTTACGTTTATCGAGATTGGAGACTGTACAATAAGTAAATGATAATGTAAGGTTTAGGCCTGTGAATCTCTTGAAGGCTGAACAAAGAGATGGAATTACAACACTGTTTTATTGCAGGAGCTGCGGTCACCGCACTTTTTTTGTTGCAGTGGAGCTCAGGGACGGAACAGCGAACATGGTGATTCGCCCGGTTAAGTATGTTGTGTTTTCTGTTGGTGAATTACAGAGATGTTTTTGTGTTTTATGAGTAAAACTGTGTCATTTATCCGATTTTTCTTGTAGAAATCTACTTTGCCCTTAAGCTTGATCCTTGTACACTAATATATTTTGCTTGATGACTGTTATCAATAATAAAGTAGGCTAGAAAGTTTCTTTAGAGCGAAGTGTTATCTCTAAATTCACTAAATTAATCTTTTTTACTGTCATAAACAATCGCGTACACAAAAAAAATCAATCACCAACACTTACAACTAGTTTCTCTTGTATGTACCTTGTTGAGTTCTCTACTGTCTATTCATCTTTATCTTCATCTTCTTCATAATTGAAAGGCAATGGCACCGACTTGAATGCTCGATAATTGCCGGCGTTATTCAAATGCTCATTCTCTAACCTGGAAATAACGTTTTCAAGCATGTTAGATTCAAATTCAGATTCGAGTTTGTAAAATAGCAGGGAAAGAACACACTTAGTTTACCTGAAGAAATTCCACACCCCTCGACGGATTATCTCGAGGCTGGCCTCGATGGTGATCATGGTTTGCCTATGCAAATCAAATAACTTGAAATTGAACACTGTTTGCAACCATGCAAATCTCAGCAGAACATTCAGGACCTGCATTCCAATGAATGTATCCCAATAAACACATACGACCATACGAATTGAACAAGTTTGGAGTTTGAATACTCGGTTCCTAGACTTACCATAGCACCGAAATAGACACTTTTCCGTTGTATAAGGAGTTTGTCTCTCAACCATCGGTTCCTAGAATGGCGTTGAAGAAGTCCCCAATCGTAGACAAGGTCCCAGTAAGTACATACAACGGCGGCAGTCACAGAGACGATGAGAGCCAATATTTCCCAACTCAACCCTTTGTTAAGACTGTATGCTGTTCTTAAACAAAGGGCCACGATGGTGATGAAATATTTCCCTGCATTGTAACCTTGCAAGGTATCTTTCTCTTCGAAAAAACGACGCAGGCACTGAAGCATGCGAGACCAGAAAGGAATCACAGCGACAATGTAGCTGAAAGTGTTGAAAACATCGTTGCTATTGCAGCTGTTTTTTCGGTGTCTGAAATCTCCCCAACCATAGTAGCAAATGTAGAACTCAAGACTTCTAAATGCTTGAACCTGAAACCGAACAAAGAATTGAAAAGAAGTTAATATCGAAGATTTTGTCTTGTCTTTTTCAGACATGAAAGGTTCATTTCACAAACCTGGCTAGTTAACTGGTCTGCCAGGAAGAAATCTGGGAGTCTGACCTGCAATTTGAAAGGAATTTTACAGATTACTTTAACAGATCCGTAGACGCATCAGATACGGATATCTGATCCACATACTCCAAGAAAAATGAACGCTTACCTTGTAAAGAGGGGCTAATATACTATGAAATAAACAAACAAGGAAGAAGAAACGACTAGATCGATATAGGATGTTTAATGGCAAGAACATTATGACAAACACCACCTGCAGATAGACCAAGAAATCAGTCGTAAGTTATACATAAACACATACATATATGTATGTATAAGTTTATGGTTATGAATGAATTCAATGATCTTACCAGAACCAAGATCAAAGGGACAATTTCGGTGAATGCTTTATAATCCATAGTTTTGGGATCCATCTCCATATCAAGATTAGAGAGCACACTAGCAAGTGCCATTACTGCAAGGCCAAAACTTACAAGGAGCACTTCCCGGTACCCGAGTTCAGTTCCTTGCTTGAAACCAAATATGAAGGCATAATTAACTCGATACCTTCTCCAAAAGTACACATTGCTGGCGTACAACACCGTATGTAGAACAATGAATCCAAATAAACTGCAAAATTGTTTGCGCTAAAACTTGTCAAACAAATGGTTTATATACAGACTGAAATCAACTTCAATTGCAGTTGCAGGGACAGGATTCTAAGCCAAAATTGATTAATTCGTTACCTGTAAAGGGGGAACATGGTTTCCATGTACTGGTCAGCTCCATCGTGACCCAAGATATGCCGAGCACGAATTATCAAAATAAGAGCTATTACGAGAGCAAATCCGCATCCAGCAAAGAAACCTGATAAAATATTCAAGAATTGCAGAGTTGTATCTTTCCAAAAAATGAATTGCTTATGCGTATGAAATTCAAAGCTCTACCAGTATAAAATGTTGTTGTATGTCTTTGTTTCCTAGTTTTTGGTCTTAAAATATTCATTCCTTTGCTGCGGTTCGAGTTTGCAAAGTGTTTGATGAATGTAGCCTCAACTCTTTCCATAAGTTTTGTAACCTCTTCGGAGCTACCTAGATAAGAACTATCCACCATGTTCATGTATGATTTTGAAGCATCCCTTGAACTGATCTGCAATCATAAAAGAACAAAACACTGTAAAAAATAAACAGAAATCTAAATAATTTTCCACATAAATAAAGTGTATGTGCATATATGCAAGCATGTATGTATGTATACCTTGTCATATTTCTTCATGATTTTTGAGAAAGCCAGTATATTTAAGAAGCTGTAACTTTTGAGGAGGAGAAGTTTCCGGTAGAATTCAACAAAGGCTCGCTTAAGTTTATTCTCAACTCTCTTGAAATTCTCCCTATTAAACTTCAAATCAGACTGTTTAGGGGCGTTTAGAAGCACTTTAATGGTTGATCCAGGCGTGGCAAGCGTGTTATTCATTTTAACACGGTCTAGTATCTGTAATGGAGCTGGTCTATGTTCTTTCAACTTATTAGTCACTAGTTTTTCAATGGTTCTCCCTTCAATATCTTGCTTTGCAGTATCTTTCTTATCATCGTCTGAATCACCGTGCATGCTCGGCCCTTCATCGATGATCTCCATGTGCTCAACTGATCTGCCTGCAAATTGACAACCAAAGGTGTAATTCATAAAAAAAAATCACTTCTCCAAGCTTTAATCTTTAGTGTAGTGAGTGGCTACTTACTGCTGCTTGATTTAGCACCGGCAGGAATCGAAGCCGCCAGCATGGCAGTTGACGCGGCTACAGCCGAGGCGAGACGAGTCATATCATGGGACCGGTCAGGCCACGGCCATCCTTGAGGATTCTCCACTTTGATTCTAAAAGCAATGAAAGCATCCATTTGCTTGTTCAGGGTCTCAGCCTCCTGCATCACCTCTGCCACCTTGGACTTGTAAAACTTGTCCACCTTATTGAACTCATCGTCCAGCCTTCTGAAGTAAACCAATTCGTACTCCCCACCTTCTTCTCCTTGCATGAGGAACGTCGTCTCGTACTTCTCGGAGCCGTTCCGGTTAACAGAATTCACGAAAATGGGATGCTCTTCAACGTCCGGCGATGTCGGATCGATGGAATGTTGACCATGCCTATGAACCAACAGCCCACTGAAAGATCTGTACATGGACAGGCTTCGTTTCAGTCCATGTGGGAGGGATTGTTGTTGCTTGCTTCTTTGATTGAAAGCTTGAATATCTTTTAAAAGGGTCTTAAGATAATCATAATCCATGTATGCCCCTTTCCATTCCGGTACCATTTGAGCTGCAAATTCCTTCCCAAACTTCATTTTCTTTTTCTCCTCTGCACAGTGGTGTTATACAAAAACGAAGCTTCAAGAAATGTGTGAATATGGGGTTTACAACAATGCATGTCTATTTATAAGCATAAAACGTTGACTTTTTTCTGGTTACTTGCTCAGTTCTTCTAGTTTCAATATTCACATTAAGAATTTTCAACAGCAACTGATAATAACAAAAAGAAAAAAAGAATTAGGTACCAAAAACTATATTTAACCTAATATAATAGTAATCAGTTGGCAGTTGTATAAGTACACCTAAAACCAGGCCGTGCATGTACGTTAATGTTACGGTTCACCCGATCCGATCTGAGGTGTCATACTAGACTATTAGAGTGACCCACAATAAAAATAACATAAAAATTTAAATTTTTTTATTAAAACATATAAAAGTACAAGTGTAGAAAATTTTCAAATCGTAAAACGGAATTCATTCATACCTCTCATCATAAAAGTTTCAGACTCAATATAAAATCAAATGTGACCTACATGCCCCTAATAACAATAGTATCATACTCTATAATCAAAGCCGAAGGAACTCCCATTACTGAAGTCGATAGTTACACTGAATCGATCTTTTAACCTGAAATGGTGAATAACATAGTGAGCTATGGGAAGCTCAGTAATACAGAACTGTCAGGTGATGCTGAAGAACATGCAGATAAATAACAAGCATAAAAATTTTCTTATTGATTCAAGTATATGCAGGTTTTCGTGATGAGATGAGGTTCCACTGATATTTCTTCAGGTAACAGACAAGTAGCTTATAGCTCAGAGGAACATTCAGAAGACCAGGTTCAGAAGATTGGAATAGGACGTCTAGTGTGTTCCCTCAAAACCATAATAAATGAAATCATAGTTTAAAAATGATTAATAGTTTATTTTTGTAAAACAAATTTTTAAAAACACAATAATATCCTCTACTTGTACATCAACATGCAGTTCCCTATAACTGTATCTATAAGGACTTACCCTAGGCCCATTGGGCATAGAAACCAACCTAAGGGAATACCTTGGGGCCTTAGAGCCTATCCAAGGAATACCTTGGGGCCTTAAATCCTACCCAAGGGATTACCTTGGGTCCTAAGATCCTACTAAGGGTCACCTTAGGCCCGTAAGAATTTACCAGCTTGATCAGAGCTAAACCTTCGTACTCCAGAATCCTACCCAGACAGTATCCCAATAAAAATCATATTGAGCAGTAAACTGTAATATCAGAATCATGATCCAGTAGAATCTCGTAAGAGCGACAATGAAGTTTATTCAAATCACATAACTGCCCTCCACCCGTACACCATATCCAGTCCCATGATTTACCCAAGAGAGTGCTTGGGGCCTTAAAGCATACTCAAGGTAGTACCTTGGGGCATAAGAGCCTACCCCAAGAGTCACCTTAGGTCCGTAAGGATTTACCAGCTTGATTAGAACTAAACCTCTATACTCTAG